TGGTCTCCCACGTGGGTGCAGGGGCCCAGGAACTGGACCATCTTCTACTGCTTCCCCAGGCTATAGCAGAGAGCTGGACTGGAAGTAGAGCAGCCTTGACTCATACGGGATGCCAGTACTGCAGGCGATGGCTTCACCAGCTAAGCCACAGTGCCAGGCCCCCGGAATTCTTTTTTAAAACCCCAATTCTTCTTTTCATCTCCAAGTCACCATCTCTTCATTGAGGCAACAATCATTAATTTTAAAATAAACAGATCCCTTTCCAAAATACAACATTAACACAAATACCCAAAGCACACACAATCAAAAAGCGGTTTGCTCCTTTTCCAACCCCACTCCCTGCTAATGGCCTGGGAGAGCAGAAAGACTGACCCAAGTAATTGGGCCCCTGCACCCACGTGGGAAACCCTGATGAAGCTCCTGGCTCCTGGCTTTGGCCTGGCCCAGCCCTGGCTGTTGTGGCCATCTGCAGAGTGAACTAGTGGATGGAAGATCTCTCCTCTCCCTGACTCTGTCCCCTGCAATTTTGTCTTTCAAATAAAACAAATCTTTTTTAAAAAGTAAGTGACTTCATCATTTTACATCCTAGCAGTAACTTAGCACCTTACATTCAATAGATTGAACTGCAATCAGAGGCCAGTCACTGTGCTAAACTCCTGAGTATTCAAAAGTGATTAACACATAGTCTGTTAAGAGATGAGAGAGGTGAACAAATACTTCACTAAAATATTACAATAAGCACACATAAAGTCTGCAACGAACAGCACCTAAGAGCATTTGCACAAATCATTTTAAAATAAAATAAAAAGCCTTACAAAACCCAGTATTAGGGGAGCCAGCATTTTAGCACAGTAGTTTAAGCCACCACATGAGATGCAGACATCCCACACCAGTGCTGGTTGGAGTCCTGGCTGCTCCACTTCCAATCCAGCTCCCTGTTAATGGCCTGGGTTTTTGCAGCATAAGATGCCCAAGTGTTTGGGCTACTGCCACCCACATGGGAGACCAGGATAAAGCTCCTGTCTTAAGCCTGGACCAATGCTGGCCATTGCAGCCATTTAGGAAGTGAACCACCAGACGGAAAATTCCTCGGGGGCCAGCGCAGCGGCATAGTGTGCTAAACCTGTGCTAAGCCTGTGGCACCAGCATCCCACATGGCCACCGTTTGGATCCTGGCTGCTCCTCCCTGAAAGGCAGCAGGTGATGGCATCATTACTTGGATCACTGCCACCGATGTGGGTGACCCTGACTGAGTTCCAGGCTCCTGCCATCAGCCTGGTCCAATCCCACTGTTGTGAGCATTCGGGAAATGAACCAGTAGATAGAAAAGCTCTCTCTCAGGGCTGGCAAGTGGCATAGCAGGCAAAGCCGCCACTTGTGGCGCTGGCATCCCATATGGGCACTGGTTGGAGTCCCAGCTGCTCCACTTCCTGTCCAGCTCTCTGCTATGGCCTGGAAAAGCAGCAGAAGATGGCCCAAGTCCTTGGGCCCCTGCAACCATGTAGGAGACCCAGAAGAAGCTCCTGGCTTCAGATCGGCATAACTCTGGATGTTGCAGCCATCTGGGGAGTGAACCAGCAGGTGGAAGACCTCTCTCTCTCTTTGCCTCTGCCTCTCTGTGTAACTCTGCCTTTCGAGCAAATAAATAAATCTTTAACCAAAAAATAAATAAATAAATAAGAGCTCACTCTCTCTCAAATAAAAAAATAAAAACAACTAATAGTAAAGTGTTATGATTTAGATTCAATTACTGGGGACAGTGCTGTGGCATAGCGGGTAAAGCCACCACCTGCAATGCCAGCACCTCATATAGGCACCGGTTCTAGTCCCGGCTACTCCACTTCTAATCCAGCTCTCTGCTATGGCCTGGGAAAGCAGTAGAAGATGGCCCAAGTCCTTGGGCCCCTGCACCCACTTGGGAGATCCTAAAGACGCTCCAGACTCCTGGTTTCCGATCTGCCCAGCTCCAGCCCTTGCGGCCAACTGGGGAGTAAACCACTGGATGGAAGACCTCTTTTTCCCTCCCCACCATGTCACCCCACCTCCACATCTCTGTAATTGCCTTTCAAGTAAGTAAATAAATCAAAAAAAAAAAAAAAAAAAAAAGAATCAAGGGGCCAACACCGTGGCTTAGCACCACCTGAGGACATCCCATACAGATACAGGCACCAGTTCGTGTCCTGGCCGCTCCATTTTGATCCAGCTTTCTGCTATGGCCTGTGAAAGCAGTAAAGATGGCTCACCCACTTGGGCCCCTGAACCCATGTGGGAGAACCAGAAGAAACTCCTGACTCCTGGCTTTAGATCAGCCCAGCTCCCATTGCGGCAGTCTGGGGAGCAGAGATCTCTCTCTCTCTCTCTCTCTCTCTGCCTCTGCCTTTCTGTAATTCTGCCTTTCAAATAAATAAATCTTTAGAAACAAAAACAGATTCAACTACTTTCACTGAGGCACACAGGTCCATCAGCCTCAAGCAGAAATTTTTTCCCCAAATATCAAAAAATAAGGAATTAACCATTAAGCAGGAAGCATCAAGTTGAGAATAATTAATGAGATAATAAACTTACCAATGACTATTTGATGATGGTCATAAGAAAAACCAATGCAGAGGATTTTAAGGAGGAGCTTAAGAAGAATAACATTAGTGAAAGGGAAGGAGGAACAAAGGTCAGGAAATGATGTTTTAGAAGATGGTTCTTGAAATGGCTCTTAAAAGAGGAACAACGCAGAGTGTGGAAATCACGCAGTTTCTCTCCATTAGGTAAGATCCTTGAAGGCAGGAGTTTGCTTTATTCATTCCATACCAAATACAGCAGCATGCACTTACTAGGTGCCTAAAAACTGGCTTCTGACAACAATTGTGCTAAACATACATAATATGCACAAGACTTATGAGCAAGACACAGAAGCAGAACTGCCTCAATCTAGTAGACAAAGGAGACTCCTGTAAAATTTGAATAAAGTAATGCCAGTACATTTATACTTGAATATTCTCATGCCATCACAAAAAAGGATTCATAAAAACCCCACAATGGATTTCCCTTTATGAAACAAAGGGCAGCAGATGTCGAACCTAGTAATAAAGATGCTCTCATCTCACTTGGGAGTACCTGGGTTTGATTCCCAGCTGCAGCCCTGGACTCCAGCTTCCTGCCAATGCAAACCTTGAAAGCTGTGATGGCTCAAAGAACTGGGTTTCTCCCAGCAAAGTGAAACCTGGACAGTATTCCCAGCTCTCATCTTCAGCTCTGGCTCTTGCCCACCACTATTACAAGCATTTGGACAGTGAACCAGCACCTGGAAAGTAAGTGAGTGAGTGAGTGTGTGAGTGTGTGTGCGCACGCACGCGTGCACTTTTTCACCTCTCTCTCTCTCTCTGACTCTCAAATAGGTAAAATTCACGGGAAAAATATCTAAGGGCCAGCTTTGTGGCACAATGGATTAAGCCGCCACTTTCAATGCAAGCATCCCTTACTAGAGTGCCAATTTAAGTCCCAGCTGCTTGACCCAACACCCTGCTAATGCACCTAGGAAAGCATCAACAGATAGCCCAAATGTTTAGGGCCCCATCACCCACGTATGAGACCCACATGGAATTCCAGGCTCCTGGCTTTGGCCCAGCCCAGTCTTGCTATTGTGGTTACTGGGGAGTGAACCAACAGATGGAAGATCTCTCCCCTCTCTGTCATTCTGCCTTTCAAGTAGATAAATTTTTTAATCCTTAAAAAAAAGAAGAGGGGCCAGTGCTGTGGCATAGCAGGTTAAGCCTCTGCCTTCAATGCCAGTGTCCCATACGGTCAGCAGTTCAAGACCTGGCTGCTCCACTTCTGATCTGGCACCCTGTTGATGCACCTGGGGCCCCTGTACCCAAGTAGGAGACCCAGAAGAATCTCCTAGTTCCTGGCTTCAACCTGGCCTAGCCCCAGCTGTTGTGCCCATTTGGGGAGTGAACCAGTGGATGGAAGATCTCGCTCTCTTTCTCTCTATCCTTCTCTCTGTATAACACTGCCCCTCAAGTAAATAAAAACTAAATCCTTACTTTAAATTAAAAATTTTTTTAAAAAAGGAAAAAAATCTAGAATAAAAGAGTGGGGTTTTTTTTCCAAAGAACAAATAAAGTAGAATTAATTACTCTGCACATTGTAACTGTCTGTATCCTTTGAATTTCAAGGTATGTGACCACAAGTATTATCTACTAAAGAAAAATAAATTTAATTTTTTTTTTGACAGGCAGAGTGGACAGTGAGAGAGACAGAAAGGTCTTCCTTTGCTGTTGGTTCACCCTCCAATGGCCGCCGCGGCCGGCGCACTGCAGCCGGCGCACCACGCTGATCCAATGGCAGGAGCCAGGTGCTTCTCCTGGTCTCCCATGGGGTGCAGGGCCCAAGCACTTGGGCCATCCTCCACTGCACTCCCTGGCCACAGCAGAGAGCTGGCCTGAAAGAGGGGTAACCGGGACAGAATCCAGCACCCTGACCAGGACCAGAACCCGGTGTGCCGGTGCCGCGAGGCGGAGGATTAGCCTAGTGAGCTGCGGCGCCGGCCAATAAATTTAATTTTTAAGAATCTGCAGAGAGGCCAGCATTACAGCAAAGCAGACAAAGTCACCTCCTGTGATGCCAACATTCCATATGGCATCTGTTCGAGACCTGGCTGCTCCACTTCCAATCTAGCTCCCTGCTAAAGAGCCTGAGAAAGCAGCAGCAGAGGATAACCCAAGTTCTTGCGCCCCTGCAAGCCCACAGGAGATCTGGAAGAAGCTCTGGGCTCCTGGCTTCAGCCTGGTCTAGCTCCATCCTGGTCCAGCTCCAGCCACTGCACCCATTTGGGAAATAAACCAGCAGATGGAAGATCTGTCCTCTGTAACCCTGCCTTTCAAATAAATAAACAAATCTTTAACAATAACAACAAAAAGAATCTGCAGCAACTTAATTTTTAGTGAAACTGGCAGTAAAGTGAAAAATGCATTCTCATCAGAAAAAGGGAGTTCAGAAGCAGGTACCTGGTGATGCTGCATGGGACACCGGCATCCAGTATCAGAGTACCCAGGCTTGCATCCTGGCTCGTTTCAAACAAAATAAAAGAATGGGGAAAAAAAGAGTTCAGTTCAGAAGTTCTCAGAATAATTTACGCAAATAGTAATAAAAACCTGAACTAATCTGGAGCGGCAGAAAGGAGCTGAAACCTGGTCAAAAATCTAATTGTCAACGAATTCTGACAAGTGACTGAACAGAGTGATGTAAGGGTCCATACCATGAAAATAATTCACTTAAACTAATTTTTATATTATGAAAGCAATATATTCAGAGAACATATTTGGGGCCGGCGCCACGGCTCACTAGGCTAATCCTCCACCTTGTGGCGTCGGCACACCGGGTTCTAGTCCCGGTCGGAGCGCCGGATTCTGTCCCGGTTGCCCCTCTCCCAGGCCAGCTCTCTGCTGTGGCCAGGGAGTGCAGTGGAGGATGGCCCAAGTCCTTGGGCCCTGCACCCCATGGGAGACCAGGAGAAGCACCTGGCTCCTGCCATCAGATCAGTACAGCGTGCCGGCCGCAGCAGCCATTGGAGGGTAAACCAACGGCAAAGGAAGACCTTTCTCTCTGTCTCTCTCTCTCACTGTCCACTCTGCCTGTCAAAAAAAAAAAAAAAAAAAGAGAGAGAGAGAGAGAGAAAGAACATATTTGGGAAGTACAGAATATAAAGAGTTAAATTATAAGCTGCAGCTGCTGTGGTGTAGTGGAGTTAAGCTGCCACCTGCAGCGCTGACATCCTGTATAGGCGCCAGTTCCAAGTCCTACCTGCTCTACTTCCCATCCAGCTCCCTATTAATGCACCTGGGAAAGCAGCAGAAGATGGTCCAAGTGCTTGGACCCCTTCACCCACATGGCAGACAAAAGAAAGCTGCTGGCTCCTGGCTTCAGCCTGGCCATTTCAGCCATTTGTGCAGTACACCAGAGGATGGAAGACCTCTATCTCTCTGCTTCTTCCTCTCTGTAACTCTGCCTTTCAAATAAATAAATAAATCTTTAAATAAACAAGTAGAAGAAAGCTATGATTTCTACTGTTAACAATCATTGGTAACATCTACATGTATTTTCTTTCCATGTGTAAATTTTTTGTAATAGCTTGATATGAGACTCACATACTGCATAGCATGCTCATTGAAAGTGCAAAACTCGGGCCGGCGCCGCGGCTCAACAGGCTAATCCTCCGCCTAGCGGCGCCGGCACACCGGGTTCTAGTCCCGGTCGGGGCACCGGATTCTGTCCCGGTTGCCCCTCTTCCAGGCCAGCCCTCTGCTGTGGCCAGGGAGTGCAGTGGAGGATGGCCCAGGTGCTTGGGCCCTGCACCCCATGGGAGACCAGGAAAAGCACCTGGCTCCTGGCTCCTGCCATCGGATCAGCGCGGTGCGCCGGCCGCAGCGCGCCGGCCGCGGCGGCCATTGGAGGGTGAACCAACGGCAAAGGAAGACCTTTCTCTCTGTCTCTCTCTCTCACTGTCCACTCTGCCTGTCAAAAAAAAAAAAAAGAAAAAAAAAAGTGCAAAACTCAATAGTTTATTATATTCAGAGTTGCGCATCCAACTCCATCAACTTGAGAACATTTTTATCCCATTTTTATCTTTTTATCACATTTTTATCTTTTTATCAAAAAGAAACTTTTTTTTTTTTTGACAGGCAGAGTGGACAGTGAGAGAGAGACAGAGAGAAAGGTCTTCCTTTGCCGTTGGTTCACCCTCCAATGGCCACTGCGGCCGGCACACCGCGCTGATCCAAAGGCAGGAGCCAGGTGCTTCTCCTGGTCTCCCATTGGTTGCAGGGCCCAAGCACTTGGGCCATCCTCCACTGCACTCCCGGGCCACAGCAGAGAGCTGGCCTGGAAGAGGGGCAACCGGGACAGAATCCGGCGCCCCGACCGGGACTAGAACCCCGTGTGCCGGTGCCGCAAGGCAGAGGATTAGCCTAGTGAGCCATGGCGCCAGCCCCAAAAAGAAACTCTTAACACAACCATGGCCCATTCTCCACTTCCCCCAGCCCCTAATCTACTTTCTGTTTCTATGGATTTGCCTATTCTGGACTTCTCACACAAATGGAATCATTTTATATAGTCTTTTCTGCCTTACTGTTTTCAAGGTTCATCCATTTCATTGTTTTAAGTTTGAAGCAATCATTTCAGAAACCTAATTTTGCATTCAGCATTTTTCATGTTATACTAGTCAGCTTTTTATTACTACAACAAAATACCTGAAGCAACTAGTTTCACAAAAAACATTAATTCGGCGCCACGGCTCACTAGGCTAATCCTCCGCCTGTGGCGCCGGCACCCCGGGTTCTAGCCCCGGTTGGGGCGCCAGGTTCTAGTCCCCGTTGCTCCTCTTCCAGTCTAGCTCTCTGCTGTGGCCCGGGAGGGCAGTGGAAGATGGCCCAAGTGCTTGGGTCCCTGCACCCACATGGGAGACCGGGAAGAAGTACCCAGCTCCTGGCTTCGGATCAGCGCAGCGTACCAGCCATAGCGGCTATTAGGAGAGTGAACCAACAGAAGGAAGACCGGAAGACCTTTTTCTCTGTCTCTTCTCACTGTCTATAACTCTCCCTCTGTCTCTCTCTCACTATCTAACTCTGCCTGGCAAAAAAATAAAAATAAAAATAAAAAAACATTATTTTAGACCAGTTTCCAAAAGTTCAAGTCAAGATCAGGTTCCCCCATTGGTTTGGCTTTTGCAATGGTGGTGGATAGCAATGGTAGAGTGTAGGCAGAGTAAAGATCACATGGCAAGCCAGGAAGCAGCAAGAGTAGCTGGGCCAAAACTCAGGCTCTTATAATAATCTTCCAGCAAGAACTACCTTCCAAGGGCATGACCCCAATGACCTACGGATCTCCCACAGGTCCTACCTCCTAAACACCATAACCACATTAAGTTTTTAGCCTCTTGGTACCAATAACTTATGACTCTGGGTTTAAACATCTGCAAGAGTTTGGGGGCCAAATCATATTCAAACCATAGCACACATCATAAATGCTTCAAACATGTCCTATTACCAGAAAAACACAATGTCCTATCAAGGGGTCCAACAGTTTACACAATCATTTTACTGTTGTTGTTCACTTAAATTGTTTCTGGCTTTTTCTATTGTAAACAAATTTTCTTAAACAGAAGTGGGCACTTCTTTCTGAACGATCTCTCTGGATCCAGGGAAATGCCTCTTCCAGAAACTCTGAGCTTCCAATTAGATTTTTCACAGAAAGCAAAAGTTGTGCTCTTCCAAGGAAAAATTCAGAATGTCATCTATTCCAAACCTAGGTAAAGAATGGATTTATTTTATTTATTTGAAATGCAGTGTTACAGAGAGAGGGAGACAGAGAGACAGACAGGAGAATGAGATCTTCCATCTGCTGGTTCGTTCTCCAAATGGCCAGAACAACAGGGACTGGACCAGTACAAAACAAGGAACCAGCAACTCTATCCTGGTCTCCACATACATGACAGGGACCTAAGCACGTGGGCCATCTTCTGCTGCTTTCCCAGGCATATTAGCAGGGAACTGGCTTGGAAGCAGAGCAGCCAGGACTCAAACTGCCACTCCGATATGGGATGCAAGTGTCCCAAGCAGCGGCTGAAACCACTCCACTGCAACACTAGCTCCAAGGATGGAGGTTAAAATCTACTTGAATGTAAAACAAATGCCTGTGGCTTTGTGGCACAGTGGGTTAAGCTGCCAGCTGCAATGCCTGCATCCCATATGGGCACCAGAGTCCAGGCTACTCTACTTGGAATTAGTTTTCTGCTCATGTGCCTGGGAAAGCAGCAAATGCTTGGGCCCCTTTCACATCATGTGGAGCCCAGGATGGAACTGCTGGCTTCTGGCTTTGGCCTGGTCCAGTTTTAGTTGGAGACTGGAAGATGGCTCAAATTCTTGGGTCCCTGCACCCACATGGAAGACCCAGAAGAAGCTTCTGCCTCCTGACTTCAGCCTAGAACAGCCCTAGCCATTGCTGCCATTTGGGGAGTGAGCCAGAGGATGGAAGATCTCTCTCTCTCTCTCTCTCTCTCTCTCTCTCTCTGCCTTTCAAATAAATTAAATCTCAGGGAAAAAAAAAAAAAAAAAAACCGTGCCTACAATGGGGATGAAATTCAATTATAAAGACATATTAATCATTAACTAGCCTGACTCTTCCACAGAAACCCATAGTGATGAGGAATGGAAAATATTCTGTCCAAACATAATCCCTGAGGGCCAGCACCATGGTGTAGTATGTAAAGCCACCACCTGCAGTGCCAGCATCCCATATGGGCACCAGTTTGATTCCTGGATGATCCACTTCTGATCCAGCTCTCTGCTATGGCCTGGAAAAACAGCAGCAGACAGCCCAAGTTCTTGGCCTCTGCACGTCGCGACATGGGAGACCCAAAAGAAACTCCTGGCTCCTGGCTTCGGATCAGTCCAGCTCCAGTGCTCTGTCTTCCCTCCCCTCCCCTCCTCTCCTCTTCTCTCTGTCTCTCAACCTGCCTCGACCTCTCTGTAACTCTGCCTTTCAAATAAATAAATAAATCTTTTTATATGTGTGTGTGTGGGTGTGTGTGTGTATAATGCCTGATATTTTGTAGCTTCCAAGAAGTCAGACTACTATAACTTCCACAGCAGGCCGGAGGAAAATAAAGAGAGCATCTGGACTAAAACTGTGGTACTTAACTCTTGCTACCAGATGACGGTAAATTAAATCGAAAAGGTAGAAAGGGCAAGACGACAACACTGGCCAATCCAAAAGGATCCTCAGAAGCAATTCCACACACTGCATTCCCTTAAAACACTGTCATTCCCTCCCATTCATTAACCAAAATTGTAAATAACATCTCAATCACAAAAAGATGTTTACATTCTAATCTACTTTTAGGATTGTTAATCCCAACCAAGTAAAATCTCTTAGAATCTGATCTAAAAATAAAACCATGTGTCAAGTGTTCCTCAAAAAATACTATGTACACTGATTGGAATGTGATGCCAATTAACACAGTTTGTGAGTAATTTGCCAAAGAAACTTTAGATGACCTGGGCCAAAACTAATAACAAAGAAACAACACCCACTTGACATTTTCCTTGCTTAAAGGGAGATTCTAGAAGTAATTTTAGAAGAAAGGCAAACAGATCTAAAGTTAACTCCTAAAATCATGGAGAGCTGCACAAGTAATTCTGGGAGACAAAGAGTAGCAGAATGACTCGAGCATTGTGAAATTAAAGATGGAATCTTTAATATGTAATTAAGCTTAATTTTTACTCACAACTTTAAGGCAAGGATAAAATAGTCAGCCACTGCTATCATGAGGATTACAGATAAGATAGTTTAGCCCTGTACCAGAAGTACTGAGCGAATTGTCACACAAATATCTAGTTTTACACTTTGAACCCAGTCAGAAGAGCAATTAGGAGGAATTCTACTCATCCATACACCTACATACTCTAAGATCAAAACCCTAAACAACCTCATCCTAAATTAGGCCAGTGTTCTCTGATTTTCCAATTCACTCAAGGAGAGCCATTTTCCAAGTACCATTTATTTTTCAACAAATAACTTATATGATCTGCACAACTTAAAAAAACTTTTCAAGTCAAAGCTTGATTTTGTCATTTCATTAACCCTCTCACTTTCATAGTAGTCTATTTTTCAAAGACAATATTAAAAATTTTCTTCTGCAAGTCAAGGTTAAGGCATGCTGTTTGACTAACAAGTTCCTCCCAAGATCAGGATTACTATGCATGGATTATTATGTTCCAAATATGCCAACTAAAGTATTCTCTCTTCTAATATTTTTTCTATTTTTAAAGCAGAAGGTTAATAAAGTTTCATCTGAAATGTAAATGTAGTAAAAGCATACACTTGCTATTCCTGGACTACTCAAAATAATTTGAAGTCACTAATTTTATTTTCCATTTCATAAATAAGCTAATACTTTTGCAAAAGTCAAATTTAATTTCCAATAAGTTATTTAATCTTTAGAGCAAAAAAGACGCATATTTTAAACTAAAAACTAGTTTCAGAGGAGCTATAGTCCTTGATGTTTAACCATTCTTTACTTCATCTTTGAGACATTTATTGTCATAAACGACCAGTTTAACTTGCTTCTGTTTTCTTCTACTAAACCAAGCCCCACAAAATATGCCCAAATTCATTTCAGTCAAGCCTTCTTTGAAAGCACACACTTTTCCCAACTACTGACAAGACGCAACAAAACCAAGCAATTCCATTATAACTTAAAATCACAAACATCACATACCTAAAAGATAAGCTTTTAGAACAGAAACAGTAACAGGTTTATTTTTCCAAGTACCCAGCATTCATCTGGGTCAAATGTTTCTGTTGCATTTTAAACAGCTTAGCCCTTGAAGTGATAAGGGTAAAAACAAGCCAACACAATCTTAATGTTCTTCAGTGGAACTAATCAACACAACCCAAGAAAAACTTAGGAACTGCTAGCTGAAGTCTGCTAATAACCACTTTTGCATAAGCATTAATCACAACAATGCAGCTATTTTAGGAAAAGTATGTTCACAGAACTAAAGACTTGATAACAACTGGAACCTGGGGAAATCAATCATAGAAGCGGTTTGCTCCGTAAGATACATTAATCCAACCAGAAACACTTCCATTCTAGACCTTTTCAGATGTTTCTGTTCTAACTGCGGAACACGGTTTATATCGTCAACAGCCATTTAAAATGTAGAATTACTAGAAGGTACTACAGTTATGAAGTCAACATTTGTGGGCAAGTATAACTTCAGAAGAATCTTCTACAACAATCTCTAGGAATATGGATGCAGTGAATTCACACGGAATAAACGCAAAACACGCATCAAGAATGTTCCTAACGGGTCTAACAAAGTCAGTCTTTTCTATTACTATCAGCTTGAACATCATGGGGGTGGGCTGGTGGAATAGTCATCAGCAAGAATAAAAGAATTAGCGACCTATTTGGAATAATGCAAATTCAATCAACTAGTTCGCCACTACCCACAACAAAGTCCCTGCAAAGATCCTGCAACCTGTACCCTTTCATCCCTTCACCCCGGACTATGTGCTGCTCCCCAAACTCATCCCAAGTCCGGCAGGCCTTCGGCGCAGCTGTCTGGCCCCAGCCTCCACGACCTCACCGCCCCCTCACCAGGTGAGCACTCACTCAACAGCCCTTCCAACCCCGCCGCGCACCAACTCCTCTCCTGCCCGAAGCAAAGCCAGCCGTTCTCAATTCCCAGCACACTGCAGACCAAGCCTTATCGCGCCGCATTGTCGTCACGCCTGGGCAGGCTCCCTCCGCTCAGCCCAGAGGGCCGGGCGGCCAGAGCCTAGATGGACGCACTGCCCACTCCCATTAAGTGACCCCCAGGACCCGGGTCGCATCGTGCGCAGATCCTACCCCTCTTCCCAGCAGGGGTGAAGCCCGGCGGCACAGCCAGGGCCCCGCAGAGAACAATGAATGAACACAGCCGCCTCCACCTCCGCCTCCCGTGAGGTCCAAAATCCCTTCCGAGCACCGACAGCGCCCGGCAGAGCCGAGGCGTCCTGGGGCTCTCGCTTCACACAAAAGCCAGCCCTGGCCCTCGCCGGCACAGCGCCCCGAGGCCAAGGCTCGGGATAAGCATCCCAAACCTCTCATTAGGAACCCACAAAGACCTGAGACCCCAGGCGAAGCCCCTCTGCCCTGGCGGCGGGGCACTGACCCCTTGCTCCTCCTTCCCCGATTCCACTCCGCGGACCTAAAAGGGTGTCCGTCGAGCTAAGGGCCCTGCAAGAAGGCGCGAGCCCGGCCGGGGTCCCCGACGCCGCGGCCAAAGAACAGCAATCAGCCGCTCCAAATGACAACACAGATACCGCGCAGCCCTGGGCGGATTTCTTTCCCAGTGCCAAAAATGAGGAATGCGTACTGGGCAGAGGGGTGGCGCTGGCCCGTTTCCGCGACACACAAGGAAATCTGCGTGGGGACGTGGGAACCGGGCTCGCCGGCACTGACACCGGGCGCGGGGGCCGCCTAGCGCCACCCAGGGTGACAGGGGCCTGCCCGGCCGTCGCCCCGCAGCCGCGGGGCAGCTCCGAGCGTCAGCGCCGCTCGGGCCCGGACCGCGGGGAAGCCAAGCCGCCCCCAGCCGCCCCGCCCGGCTCCCGGCATCCACGCCCCGACCCCGCAGCCTACCTGAGGGAGCCCGGCCGCCCCTGCGTCCGTCTAGTCGTCCGGCGGCGGCTTCGCGTCCGCTCCTCCTCCCTGCGGCGGGTGAAGGAACGGGAGGCGGTCACATTCGGCGCGTCCCCAACCCAGGGGACGGGGCCCCGGGAAGCCCCCGCATCGTCGCACTCGGGCTCCGCGCCTCAGGGCACACGCCCCAAAGCCCGGCCAGCTGGCCCTTTCGGGGGCCCAAGGAGAGCCGCAGAGAAGCCTTCCCGCCTCAAGCTCGCTCTCCTCTTACTCCCGCCATCTAAGATGGCGGCTCCAGCGCCCGCGATGAAGAGACTCTGGGGCGGCCCCGGCGAGCGAGCCCTCCACTCGGTGCTCCTCCTCCCGGCCTGCGGCTCCACCGGCTCCCCGCTTCTGCGCGAGCCCTGCCGCCTCGCCGTCCACTTCAAGCCCGGCTCGGGAATCCATCGCTCTGGCCTGAGCTCAGGCCCCGCCTCCGGAGGCGTGGCCTTGCGGGGCCGGCGGCCGCCATTTCGGAGCTCTGGATGCTGCGAGGGCATCGGTGCCCGAGAAGGCTGGTACCGACTCCCTGGCAAGGGGCTAGAGATCCACGGAAGCTCAGAGATAACCGGACGTGCCAGAGAGCACCTAGAAACTTCTAACTGTGGCGCGTCCTCTTGGAATTAAACACTTGCGAATGCGAGTCCCGGCGCTGCCCCTGGCCGGCTGAGTGGGAGAAGCCCGAAATCATCTCTCTGAAGCCTCAGCTGCTTAGTCTGTAACTTGGGGGGCTCAAGACTGGTCCCTCGGATCGGCCCAGGGCACTGTGCAGTCGCCGAAGGGTGCGCACGCCGAAACCGTTGCACCAAAATGGTCTTTTCGCGGGTCGGTTCCCATGAGCCTTTTGAAATTCCCTGGGACTGACAGATACCGTTTGCAACGCTGTCCTGGGCATTGGGCTCAGTCGTCAAAACCCCTGCCTCCCACTGATGAGGGCAAGAGAGCGAGCCAATTCCAGGCGCGATGTCTGTGCCCAGATCGCAATGACAGACAGCAGTGCGCGGACCGACGTGGAAATCACGTAGGGGGAGGGCGAGAAGGCTCCTAACGGGGAAGAACACTGAGGGGGAGTTCTTTTTTGTTGCTAAGTGGGAATAACTGTTCCGGGATTAAATGAGATGCAACGTGGAGGACTCTCAGTGCAGAGAATGCTGGGTCTTGCAGGATCTGGAGCCCGACTGCCTAGGTTCGGATTTGCGCTGTGCAGTCTCTTATCTGTGCCTAGGACACGTCGTTGAAACTTGTGTTCCTCAGTTCCCCAGTGAGGAAACCGTGATGCCTACCTCCTGGAGTTGGCGAGATTCAGATGTGCGAAGAGCGGGACTCCCAGCAAGCCTTGCGGAGGTGCGTTAGCGCTAGTCAGGACCGCAATGCCTTATCTCCCAGAGCCACTCCCTCATTCGGCTTCCCCGCACTTAGGACTTCAAAGGCTAGGGAGCCTGTTCCTCCTTCACACCTCTTAGCTAAGCGACACAAGGGGCCACTTCATTATTTAACAAATACTGTATGGAGGTGAAGTGCACATCACACACACTGAGCTGTCCTAACTGGACAGCAGGTACCTCCCCAGTGTTGTCTACCTGTCACCTCTAAGTCCAAACGTTTCCTACTCCAGTGTTAAACCATTCAGCCGTCGCTGCCCACCCTCTAGCCCCTGGCAACCACTCATACAGATTCTGTGTCACCATGGATTTAGTCCGTGTATAATTTTTAATTTATTTGAAAGCAGAGAGACAGATCTCCAACCACTGCTTCACACCCCCAAATGCCCACAATAGCCAGGGCTGAGCCAGGAGCCCAACACTCCATCCAGGTCTCCCACGTGGGTGGCAGGGACCATCAACTGTTGCTTCTCGTGGTCTGCTTTAGCGGAAGCTGGAATCAGGAATGGAGCTGGACTCCAACCCAGGCCCCTCCTGCATGGATGCAGGCAACCCAAGCAGTGTGTTACCCACTGCACCAAAGGCCTGCCCCACTCCAGTTGTTCCAGACAAGCGGACTCATTCCGTGACTTTTTGCACTTAGCATATGTTTTTTTTTTTTTTTTTTTTTTTTCGTTTTTTTATAGACAGGCAGAGTGGACAGTGAGAGAGAGAGACAGAGAGAGAAAGGTCTTCCTTTGCCGTTGGTTCACCCTCCAATGGCCGCCGCTGCAGCCGGCGCACCGCGCTGATCCTGGCAGGAGCCAGGAGCCAGGTGCTTTTCCTGGTCTCCCATGGGGTGCAGGGCCCAAGCACCTGGGCCATCCTCCACTGCACTCCCTGGCCATAGCAGAGAGCTGGCCTGGAAGAGGGGCAACCGGGACAGAATCCGGCGCCCCAACCGGGACTAGAACCCGGTGTGCCAGCGCCGCAAGGTGGAGGATTAGCCTATTGAGCCACGGCGCCGGCCCAAGCATATGTTTTAAAAGTTCATCCACGTTATAACACGGATGGATGCTTCATTGCTTTGTATGAAGGGATCATAAACTCCATCGTAAGTTTTTCCACATTTTGTTTATCCATCTGTTGACAAACATTTGAGTTATTTCCATCTTGTGGCTGTTGTGAGCAGTGATGCTGGACTCCACACGCTATAGGTACTTCAGTCCCTGTTTTCAGCCATTTAGGAGTGGAATTGCAGGGATCATGTTGCTCTGCACTGGGCTGAATACCGCCTACTGTGGAGAGCTCTGCTTTGGTGGTAGGTCAGGAGAGCTAGAGTTACGAAAAAAGATCTCAGGAGAGGAATGGGGGAAGGAATGCTTCAGAAATGGTTTGAAGAAGGGCCCGCATCATGGCCCGGTGGATTAAGCCCCTACCTGTGACACCAGCGTCCCATATGAGCACTGGTTTGAGTTCCAGTGCTCCACTTCCAATCCAGCTCCCTGCTAATGTGCTTGGGAAAGCAGCAGAGGATGGCCCAAGTACTCAGGCCCAGGGCCCCTGCCACCCACATGGGAGAGCCAGATGGGGCCCCAGGCCGCTGGCTTTGGCCTGGCCCAGCCTTGCTGGTTGTGACCATTTGGAGAGCAAAGTAGCAGGTGGAAGATCTGTATGTGTGTATGTGTAACTGTCTTTCAACTAAATAAATCATTTAAAAAAAAAAATGGTTTGATGAATGGGCATACCAAGTGATGTCAGCTCAAACAGAAGGGAAAGAATGGGAGGTGTCACAGGTGGGGAGAGGGGGGTAGGTGGAGACTAACAGTGAAAGTCCCCTGGGCGTTAGAATGTTCTACATCTTGATTTGGGCGATGGTTAGATGGATGTATACTCATATATAATATATAAAAGTCTGTGTGTACTTCATTTGTTAGAGCTCAATGAAAAAAACTTTTGGAAGATGGACAGTCAGGGCTTTAAGCCTGGCCAAAAGTGTGCATTTTTCAGATAAAGAAAAAAACAATAATAGCCACAAGATAGGCATTTGGCATAGCAGTTAGAGGATGGCCCACTTGGGTGATGCCACTTGGGGTACCAGAATGGAGGCTCAGCAGGTTAAGCCACTGCCTGTGATGCTGGCATCCCATAGCACAGGTCCCTGCTAATGCATGGCCCAAGTGCTCAGGCCCTTGCCACCCATGTGGGAGACCTAGGTGGAGTTCAGACTCCTAGCTGTGGCCTGGCCCAGCTCTAGCTGCTGTGGCCGTTTGGGGAGTGAACCAGCAAATCAAAGATTCTCTCCCTCTCCCCCTCTCTCTCTGCCTTTCAAATAATAAATAAATAAATCTTTGAAAAAGAAAAGAAAGATGGCACTCGGGACATCTGCGTTCCACACGGGAGTGCCTGTGCTCACGTCCTGGCTCTGCTCCCAATTCAGCTTCCTCCTAATGTGCACCCTGGGAGGCAGCAGATGATGGCTCAAGTACTTGGGTCCCTGCCACCTACCTGAGACACCTAGATTGAGCTCTGGACTCCTGGTTTCGGCCTGGCCCAGCCCCAGCTATTGCATTTGGGGAATAAATCAGCAGATGAGAGATCTCTGTCTGTCTCACTCTCTGCCTTTCAAATTAAATAAAATTTTAATAAATTGGTAGCTGTCATTTATGGAGCCTCTTCATGTATCAGACATTTTTACACAAACTCTAATACAGAGGCAACAAAAGGCCTACTCTGTAGGTGAGGAGCGCTTCAGAGAAAGCTGGTAATTAATCCAAGGACACCAAGCTGGGAAGTGGTGGAGTAAGAATCTGGACCTGCTCATTTGTTCATTCAGTAAATAGAGATTTCTAGTGTGCCTGGTACGTGCCAGCCCCTGCGTTAGCACAGGGCCCAAAGCCACGAACAAGCCAAAATCCCTGCCCACACAGACTTTACAATCCAGCTGGGGAGACGAGCAGCAAACAAATATATAAACCAGCATGAGTCCGGCGCCGCAGCTCACTAGGCTAATCCTCCACCTTACGGCGCCGGCATACCAGGTTCTAGTCCCGGTCGGGGCGCCGGATTCTGTCCTGGTTGCCCCTCTTCCAGGCCAGCTCTCTGCTGTGGCCAGGGAGTGCAGTGGAGGATGGCCCAAGTCCTTGGGCCCTGCACCCCATGGGAGACCAGGAGAAGCACCTGGCTCCTGCCATCGGATCAGCGCGGTGCGCCGGCCGTGGCGGCCATTGGAGGGTGAACCAACAGAAAAGGAAGACCTTTCTCTCTGTTTTTTCTCTTTTCCTCTCCACTCTTGCCTTTTCAAAAAAAAAAAAAAAAAAAAAAAAAAAAGCCAGCATGACCATCAGGACTGGTAAACCGAAGGAAGGAATGAGAGAATAATGGGGTGGGAAGGGTGTGCCTTCAGGCTCAGCAGGCAAGCAAGGCCTCCTTCGCTGACAGTGCAGCTGGGCACTCAGGGAGGGGAAGGGCTGGGGGGAGGCAGAAAGGCAGAACACCCAGCAGGAGGGACACACACAAGGGCCACAGGGCGGAATGGGAGCACTGAGGTGAGGTGGGAAGGGGACAGAGGATGGAGTCACGGCCAGCCTGACTCCCACGCCTGTGGCCTTTCCATCCCATCCTGCCTCTCTGGCGAGTCTAATTTTAGCCACAGATGAGTTGGAAGTGCGGGCTGGGCCTGGGTTGGGTGCTGGGAGAGCCAGAGCCTTGTAAACAAACAGTTACCCAACCAGGTGACACCAGTGTG